CAATCAATGTGATTCACCACATTAACAGACTGCAAAAGAAAAACCATATGATTATCTCAATTGAGGCAGAGAAAGCATTCAATAAAATTCAACACCTTTTCATGATGAAAACTCTAAGCAAATTGGGTATAGAAGGAACATTCCTCAATATAATCAAAGCAATTTATGAAAAACCCACAGCCAGCATCCTATTGAATGGGGAAAAGTTGGAAGCATTTCCACTGAGATCTGGCACCAGACAGGGATGCTCACTCTCACCACTGCTATTTAACATAGTTCTGGAAGTTTTAGCCAGAGCCATCAGACAAGAAAAAGAAATTAAAGGAATACAAATTGAGAAGGAAGAAGTCAAACTATTCCTCTTTGCAGACGATATGATTCTGTACTTAGAGGATCCAAAGAACTCTACTAAGAGACTATTGGAACTCATAGAGGAGTTTGGCAAAGTGGCAGGATATAAAATCAATGCACAAAAATTAACAGCCTTTGTATACACAAGCAATGCCACAGCTGAGGGAGTGGGAAAGGGGAGGGTTGCGGGTGGGAGGGATGTTATGGGGGGGGGGGGAAGCCATTGTAATCCATAAGCCGTACTTAGGAAATTTATATTCATTAAATTAAAAAAAGTCAAAATTATATTTCCATGCTTTTAAGTAACATGAGGATAACACCACTTGAGCAGCAAACACAGTCACTAGTGCATATTTACAACTTTGAAAAGATCTTTATCCTTAAGAGAAACAAGTTTAAAGCATATCAAAGACATGTAAAACTGAGCAAGTGAACCAGAGGGCGTTTGCATTAACCCAGTTTTCTGAACCAATCTGTATTGGCTTACTTTCGTTAACAACATAAAGGCTTGTATACACAGAAGTTAAGCTCATTTTTATAAGACTACTCTAGCTGAAAAGCAAAAACATGAATACAACATAGATCTGACATCATTTACTACATTTTAATACACTTTGTATAATTTGAATTGACTCAAACAGCTGTTACTTTAACAAATTTAGAGTCTCATCCTTTGAGAGTTCGTTGCAGGGATCCGACTAGAAGCCCCAAAGTTGAAAGACTCAGTTTAGAATTTAAACTATCAGAGTCAAACCATTTTAGTCAAAAATTAATACGTTTAACCAAGGCTGTGGGCTAGATCTGACCAGAGTTAGGTAATCACTCAAACATTAAAGACAGGCAAATAACGTAAAGAGCTTAGCATTGCAGTTTTTCCATTCAAGACTCATACTGGCAATAGAAAAATGCGAAACCTTCAAGACACATGAAAACTCTCATCAGATAAGTTAGCTACAGCAGCACAGAAAAGAATTGATTATCAGTGTATGAGCCCATTGCTTAAGTTTTTATTAACTATAAAGAGAAAAACCCATCAAGTTAATGGATTAAGGTTCTTGCTCCCTTAGGTAAGGCCAGCAGTAGCCAGAGGCATTGCCCCTGCCCCCCTCCTAGTGAGGAGGTTATTGAATTGGAAATGGAGAGGAAAAAAAGTGGCCTTGGGGAGCCCTTTCCCAAGAGATATCTGGCTAAGCCTGCATGGGTGCGGTAGGACACATTGGCTGGAATAGAGTGCAGAGAAAGGCTGTGGTCCCTCATTTACAGGGAAGACTGCACACGCAAGGGCCTAGCAGGACTGGCCGTGGGGTTGGGTAGGTGCGCCGTTTCACCAAGAGTGCTGGGAACCTTCTATAGCGCCTAGTCTAATTAAAACAGCCGCCAAGTTGAGATCTTCAAGCAGAGCCAGATCCAATCAGGGCTACTGCAACCACTCAATTAAAACAGATAATTAATAGCGTACAAAAGCTTTTCAAGACATACCAGAACTACCTTAAGGTGCAAAGATGGAAAAACATTTATCAGGTTGGAAAGGGTTATCGAATTAAGACTTTTCTCTAGGTCAAGATACCTGTGGAATTTTTCCTCTCTCTTTCTCCTGGAGCAGTGGGCTCATATGCATCACAAGCAGATTTTAAATCTTTTAGCATTTTAAAGGGGACTGGATGGTGACTGGCATTTCTTGGCCGCCTTCTGTATATACTTCCACTGGGAAAGCATCAAAAGATTTTGGCTTCCTCCTGGCCTTGCTCTGCTGCTTTTCTCAGGGTTTGAGCAACACTCTTTTTAAGATATTTGGCAAACATTCCCCTTCTTGACAAAGAGATAATTTTTATCATTATTTTTTATAAATGATTTAAAGGGAGGGGTGGAAGGAGTAACCTTTTCCATAGAACTAGAGGATCAGCAGGATCGATTATCCTCGCCATCACAGCTTCTGGCTTCCTCAATTTTCTCATGTCCTCCCAATGCATCTCATCTATAAGGCCTTCTTCAATAAACCAAGGGCATGCAATTTCTATGGTTTATAAATTGCTCTATAGCTTTCTTTTTTAACCCTATTCCTTGCGTCTGCAATAACGCCTTGACTGCCTTTACTATTGGGGGTTTTCCCGATGCTTGTCCCATAATGCCTGCTCAAAAAAAATCTCCACAATTTTGGTGTCGGGTACTCACCATAAATTGTATACCTCTATAGTCGCGACTCCATGAATCCAGGTTCCTCACTGCTTCTCTAATTCTCAGGTCCCATGTTCGGGCTCCACTTGTGCCAGCTTGCAGCACAAAGAACCGGAATGCAGGGACAAGGACGCAGCAAAGAATGGAGCCAAGACAAGGCCTGATCAAGGCTCCTTTATTGAACAAATCCAGTAGTATTTAAACATGACCAGTTGTTTACAAGAAGGAGCACAAAAGATTTACATATCAAAAAGGCTTTTAAGGTTATAAAGAGTTCCCCATAAGGTTCTTAATTATTGATTACAAGGGTACAGTAAAACACTTAGGTGATAAATGCAGGTTTCAGGTGTAACTGATTGTCTATATCATCTCTTGTGAAAGGTTTAGCAGTGAGATAAGGTTCTTCCTGCCTCTTCCCGGAATCTCCCTAGCCTAACTGTCTGTGCCAGGAAGTCTCCATTCATATGCTTAAGTGTAAACAAAGGGAGAACTGCCTGTTCTGCCCACAAGTACAACTTTTTATCTTTCCCTCAATTTGGTTTAAAAGGGGAGTTCCGCCCTTTTACCATGTACACAGAAAAATCAATCTAGCTGTGACATTACTTCATAGTTTAACCTCTCTTTTTCTGGCTATGCTGTCTGATCCTCTATACTGTGGCCCAGCATTATTACAGAAAAGGTCAGTCATCCCTTATATAAGGTCTGGGGATCAAACCGTACATCACAGTGGAGAGTCCTGCAGAACAGTAGTAACTTCCCTTCTGGAGAAGGAGAAGAGGAGAAATGAGGCAGCAAGTAGGTCTCTCTGCTTAACCTGACTTCCTGGGCTTTCAGATTTAACTGGCATTTAACCAGTGTTTAGTGGATAGCCTGACTTAGAGGAGAAGTTGTGGCAGATGTCTCTGCCATCCTTTGGCTTCTGGATATTTACTGTGTAGCCAATGGGTTATGGGCCTGGGTTTCCAGGTTTAACTAGTCTTGCACAAATGCTCTTGGGGTTCCTGGAACCCAGTAATCTGGTATCTGCCACATAACCGCCTCAAAATGTCTCTAAATCTCTCCCTTTTGGGATCCATTCTCAGTACTATCCCTTAATCTGATTTGGCATGATGGCCCCTGGCTATTTTAATGTTAATTTGGCTAAGCCTGTCAGCCCCCCTTCTGAAAGAACAGAATCAGAGCCTGCAGATCTACTTGGACTAAACTAAAGTGCTCTTTCTACTTGGAAAGGTGTGGCTGATAGCAAAGTCTATCAGGTGGTTCCCTGTCCCAGACCTATGCCTAGAGGGAAGAGGGGAGGGCCAAGAGTAAAACAGGAGTGCAGCAGGGAGGGGTAGCCAGCTCCCTGTCCTGGAGCCAACTGGGCCCTGGTCAGACACAAGAAGGAGGGAGGGCACATGCATCCCATTGCCTTTACTATCACACCATTCAACACGCAGAGTAAGCCAAACCTGACATTAAAACCCACTGGGAGGCCAGTGTCATGGCTCAATAGGCTAATCCTCCGCCTAGCGATGCCAGCACACTGGGTTCTAGTCCCGGTTGGGGTGCCGGATTCTGTCCCGGTTGCCCCTCTTCCAGGCCAGCTCTCTGCTGTGGCCCGGGGCGGGGGGGGCAGTGGAGGATGGCCCAAGTGCTTGGGCCCTGCACCCCATGGGAGACCAGGATAAGCACCTGGCTCCTGCCTTCAGACCAGCGCAGTGTGCTGGCCCCAGTGCACCGGCCACGGTGGCCATTGGAGGGTGAACCAACGGCAAAGGAAGACCTTTCTCTCTCTGTCTCTCTCTCTCTCACTATCCACTCTGCCTGTAAAAAAAAAAAAAAAAAAAAAAAAAAAAAAAAAAAAAAACACTGGGAATGAGGTCAACTCTGAAGCTGAGTCCCATTAACAGCACTTAAAGAACCAGACCCTTGGGTAAGCACAATACAAGCTAACAAATCCTTTATACTGCAACAAAGAAGTTTGAACCACCTAGTCTAATTAAAATGGCCACCAAGGTGAGATCTTAATCCATACAACTCAAATATTTCAACCAAAGCCAGATCCAATCAGGGCTACTGCAATCACTCAGTCAATTAAAACAGATAGTTAACTTCAGCTCCTTTTCAGATTCAGTCCTTGGGCAATCAAAGCTTAGCAACAGTAATAGACAGTGCACAAAAAACTTTTCAAGACGCACCATAGCTACCATAAGCTGCAAAGATGGAAAGACATTTGCCAGGTTGGAAAGGGTTATAAGATCAAGGCTTTTCCCTTTCTTAAGTGTAGACCTGTGGAATTTCCCTCTCCCCTCCTGGAAGCCAGTGGGATAGGACTGGAGACGAGGAGAAACAAAGAGGGGAGGAGACAGGGAGGAGGAAGGGGGAAAGTGACAGAGGACAAGATGTGAGCCAGTGCTCTCATCTTCCATCAGAAATCTCCGGCTGTGCCTGCAAGGCACCTCAACTGGAGGAGAGCACAGAGAAAGGCCCTGATGTCTGGGGCTGAGTGGGTGTTCAAAATCTCCTATTGCTTTAAGGCTGCTATTACTATACGATCTTTAATAAACCCAGATAGGTACATCACTGTTGTGGAGCATGATCTAAGTGTATTAGACTATCTCTCTGACTCCTCATGCTGTTTGTATGGTGTGCCAAGTGCTTATGGTGTTGTAACTATGCCTTGTAGTGTTAGAGAAGGCATAAACACTTTCTTGGATGGCTATGTTCCAACAGAAAACTTGAGATTCAGAGATGCATCGCTTGTTTTTAAAGTGGCTGAGACAGCAAATGAAGAAGTTAAAAAGATGTGTATGTATAACTACCCAGGGATGAAGAAAAAGATGGGAGAGTTTGAGCTAGCAATTGTAGCTGGAGAGTTTACGGATTCTGAAATTATGGGGATGCTTCGGGAAAATGGTACAGGCAAAACGACATTCATCAGAATGCTTGCTGGAAGGCTTAAACCTAATGAAGGAGGAGAAGTGCCAGTTCTAAATGTCAGTTATAAGCCACAAAAGATCAGTCCCAAATCAACTGGAAGTGTTCGCCAGTTATTACATGAAAAGATAAGCGATGCTTACACTCATCCACAGTTTGTGACTGATGTAATGAAGCCTCTGCAGATTGAAAACATCACTGATCAAGAGGTACAAACATTATCTGGAGGAGAACTACAGCGAGTAGCTTTAGCTCTTTGCTTGGGCAAACCTGCTGATGTCTATTTAATTGATGAGCCATCTGCATATTTGGATTCTGAGCAAAGATTGATGGCAGCTGGAGTTGTCAAACGTTTCATACTCCATACGAAGAAGACGGCCTTTGTTGTGGAACATGACTTCATCATGGCCACCTATCTAGCAGATCGAGTCACTGTTTTTGATGGTGTCCCATCTAAGAACACTGTTGCAAATAGTCCTCAAACCCTTTTGGCCGGCATGAATAAATGTTTGTCTCAGCTTGAAATTACATTCAGAAGAGATCCAAACAACTATAGACCACGAATAAACAAACTCAACTCAATTAAGGATGTAGAACAGAAGAAGAGTGGAAACTACTTTTTCTTGGATGATTAGACTGAATCTGAGGAAATCAATAAGCCATTTACTAAAAGAAACATTGACTGGGATTTTTGTCATATAAAACTTTAATCAGGTTTTATGCCCCACATACTCTGGAACTTGAAGTATAATCAATGTACATCAAAAGCCAGTTGTGTTGTAAATTGTAGTCTGAACACAGAAAATGCCACTTTCCTGGAAAAGTTCATAAGGCACTTTTGTGCATATTCTAAAATGAAGACATTTCAAGCTACACAAATTACCTCCAGGTTTTCATGATGTGTGGGAAGATGCTCAATAGTGTAATGCATACATGTACCAAATGCTGACCTGTGTGCCCCCTCTAGAAAAATCTTGAAGTTACTTTCTGTGCTTACCTGCTTTGCCAAGTATGCCAGTATAAGGAAATTTATTTTATAAGCTGGTCAAAGACCCCATTGATGATATTTGATAAATAAACATGAGGATTATAAAAAAAAATCTCCTATCGCTCATTATTGCCCACTACTTAGTTGTACGAGTTTACCTGGAGAGCCAATATTAGCCTCGACCGAAGTCAAGCCCTGCTCACATAGCAGTAGGCAGCATGACCTAGTGTCACTTCAAGAGAGAGGCAAGGTCCTTGGGTCGCAGTCTGACCACTGCCAAAGTGAGCTCGGGGGGTCTCCAGGCTCTCAGCCAACTGCCCTTCCTAGTTGCCCTCCTGTTCCTTACAATCCCTCTGGAGTTTTGGCCATAGCTAAGCCATGGCTGGGGGGCACTTCGCTTTCTCAGAGAGCTGTGGGGTGCCGGCTGATCAACGGTCACTCCCATAGATCCGGTCCCACTTGAGGGAAGGAATACTGACCTTTGATGTCTTCTTAAAATCCCTTTGTGTTTGCCAGAATGTTACCAGAGAAGCAAGGGTTCTTGTCTTCACACAAGAAAGAATTCAGGCATGACACAGAGAGTAGTGGAAAGCAAAATAGCAAGGTTTATTAGGGTAGGGACATCGTAAGAACGGATGGGCACCTCTCCAGACAGAACCTGAGAGAGAGTGCCCAGTCGCTCACTGGGGGAGAGTGAGGTTACATGGTTGAGTGGAGAGAACACACCTGGGCAGGCCAGGCGGGCGGCTCAGCAGAGAGACAGAGGGCTGAGTGCGCAGTCCAGTTGGACTCTAGGTTTTTAAGAGAGTCGTTTACCCACCCACCCCCTTCTCCAGGACAAAGGATGGAGAGTCCTGGGGGAAGGGTTTTTGGGTGAAAATTAGCAAATTCCTCCCCAGATTTGCTGGCACCCTGGGCAGAGTAGGGGGGCTTCCCTTAGAGCATCTGAGAAGGTTTTATTGCCCCATGTTATCAAGTAACCCCTTTGGTCCTGAGCAGAGGGAATTCTCCTGGCAGCTTTCCTTGGTGGGAGGGCTGGGACCACCGGGGAGGTCATCAGGGTCTGCGCAGGACTTTGAAGTGCAAGATGCTGGGCTTCTGGAGCTTCTGCAGTGGGTGCTGGTCTTCAGGCCTTTCTCATACACATAGGCTCAATTTCTGACTTCCTACCTAACAGCACCACCACTGGCTGGAGGGACACACATGTGAGAGCCCTAATGTCAAGTTCACAGCCTTGTCTACGGCATGTTCAGTAGACCTGGTTGGTTGTAATGCTCTCTCAGTTTAGCGATGAGAAACTGATTAGAGAGGCAGAGATATGTTCAGAGGAAAGCAGGTATTGATACAGGAGGTGAGATCTTAATCTTTCTTTGTTGGGTTTCAACACTGCCCCCCCATCCCATGTGCCTCTGAAACGTTGCCAGGGGCTTGTCACAGCACACCACCCAATTACGGTGCAGGGCGAGTGCACTGGTGGATGGATTGCTGGCCTTGGATGCAGGAGAGCAGGTGCTGAGGTTGCTGTGTGGCAAGTGCCTGGTGCTCTCTGAACCCCAGCACCTGCTCTTAGGAAATGGGGTAATAATCTCTTTCCTAAATACCTCCTAAGGCTGTTCATTCACTCATTCAAGTATTTCTACTGCCAGAGAATAAAACTAGCACAATAATTCAAGTGATAAAGATTCACTAGAAAAATCCATGTTCAACTCCAAAAGGAGAACGAACATTCAGAGTGAAAAGAAAGGAAACAGTAGGGCTTGGATCAACATGAGTCCACAGGTGAGGAGGGCGAGGTAGAGGGACAGCAGCAAGAAAAACAAGGAGATGCCAAACCCAGGAGCAAGAGGTGCAGACATGTTCGTGTTCATTTTCAAGTTCCTCACCCTCGTGTTTATCACAATGACTGCCTCACAATCTAATCTCCTTCCCAGATCGTAAAAACAACAGGTATTCTAGGAGGAGTGCCTTGGCAGCCAGCTTGTCCAGGGCCCCGGGTTTCTGCAGAGCCTGCTCGCTCATCTATCCATACCCTTTCCCCTACCTCACAACTAAATAATGCATGGCGCTTCCTAAATCTTAAACCCTGTCAAAAACCACTGGGAAGAAAGCCACATCTTTATAAATACCCTTGCCCCATTGTCTGGTTATGTTCCACATGGGAGCCTGGCCAGGCTTAGCACACAGACATTCACAGTGTGGTGGCTTCCGGGTCACCGACTGTCCCTGCTGTCACCGATCCCCCTCCCTGCTGCCCAGATTGTTAGGTAGGAAGTCAGAAATGAGCTTATGTGTATGTGACAAAGGCCTAAGGCATTGACATCCAGGTTCAGCATCCCCATCTCAAAATCACCCCATAACCTTCCAGGTGCAGCCCAGTATCTGCACTTCAAACATCCTACCAGATCCTGACCTCCCAGGGGGCCCTGCCCATCCTTCCTCTAACCAGCTTCCCCTGTCTGATAACTTCAGGGGGAAAACTCAGAAAGGAATATTTCGTATTTACATCCAAAAAGTCCTTTGTTCTAGGAGGAGGAGAAGAGGTGGGAAGGCAAGACCCATCCCCTTAAAAACCCTGGCCTAAATATAAACTGCGCACTCTCTCTCAGGTCCTGTCTGGAGAGGTGCCCATCCATTCCTACGGATGTCCCTACCCTAATAAACCTTGCTATTTTGCTTTCCACTACTCTGTCTCATGCCTGCATTCTTTCTTGCGTGAAGATAAGAACCCTTGCTTCTCCGGTAACAAGATGACTCTTCCCTAAGACCCAGGAGGGCTGTCTCACCTACCTCTGGGAAGGGTGAGTGCAGAGCTTTGCCACGACCTCCAGATCTCATTAGCCTGAAGGATCCATACTGGGAGAAAGGGAGAGAAAAGCTTTACCCGCTGATGGTGGAATGGCTGTGCACACACAGAAATACTGAATGAGCACGCACTGCATGCTAGGCGCTCTGTGAGGTCACGGCACACAGCTGCAAAGAAAGCAGACATGAACCCTGCTTCAAGGAATTCACAGTGCAGTTTACCAAGTACTCAGCAGTGTGGTTGGGTGTACTGTTATCCCAGTGTCAGTGGTGACAAACTGATCCCACAGAGCTGGAGAGATGTGTTTAGAGGGAAACAGCCATTTGGAATCAGAGTTTGATTCCGAATCTGCCTGCACAGCTGCCTCTGGGGCTTGTCCCAGTTCACTGTCCAGTCCACCTGGGATCACCTCAGGTGGATAGAGACTCGAGACTCAGGCCCCAGGTCATTCTCCTTACCTCTCTGAACCCCAGTTTCTTCTCTTATGGTAACCCCTTTCCAAAATATTTCGTAGGTCATTCATTCATTCAGCAAATATTTCTTGAGCTCAGAGTGGGTAAAAACCAAAAGAAGGAATTAGTACAATAAAGTATGATCAGGCTGGACTTGCAGAATGAAATGTGCATTCAGGGAAGGAAAACACTTTAAAAAAGGACGATGTCTTGATGGATGAATAGGAGTTAGCAGGTGGAATGTGTTAGCTATAGAGTAGGCACTGAGACAGCCAGGAAGATCATACATTCCAAAAACAAGCGATGGGGATGTGGGCACCCCTCAATTCCTCACCTTCACTATTTTCATGCCTATCTCCTCCAAGGTCAAATCCATGCAAACATTTCCAGAATTCCTGGAAAGGACTACGAGGTCTCTCTGACCTGCTCCCTCAACTAAATCAATTCTTACAGCTAACATCTGCCCCTTGGGCTGCACCTCATGACAGGTGCTTCATTATACAACCAAGGGCCAAAGTCCTCTTCCTTCTCTCTGAGATTTTGGGCTCCTGCCCATACCGAGGGCAATGTCATGAAACTAGTTACAGCCCCTCTGCCCAACCTTTCTTCAGCTCCATGATCGCTCTCCAGCTGCCCTCTTCTTTGGCTCCAACAGAGAAATATTTCTGAATGCAGTATTTTAGGGTAAGACTTACTGTTTCACAGCCTTATATTCCAGGCACAGCTTTCTTAAAAATTACAAAAAGAGTATACAAATGAATTTGTCAGGGCCAGTGTTGTGGCACAGTGTATTAAGCCACTGCTTGCAACACCAATATTCCATATTGGCTCTGTTCAAGTCCTACTGCTCTGCTTCTTATCCAGCTCCCTGCTAATGCACCTGAAAAAGCAGTGGAGCAGTGGGAGATGGCCCGAGTGCTTGGGTCTCTGTGTTAGGTAGGAAGTCAGATATGAGCTTATGTGTGTGTGACATAAAGGCCTGAAGAGAAGACATCTATGTCCACAATATGCATCTGTATCTCAAAGTCATCCATTTCAGAGGCAGCCCAGTGTTCGCATCCTGCCCTGCCCCTTCTACCTGATAACCTGATAGGTAGGGGTCCCACCCCTTCTGCCTGGCAATCTTCCACAATCTCCCAGATGCAGCCCAGTATCTGCATTTCAAATACCCTGCTCTGGATCCCCATTCTCCAGGGGTGCTTGCTCACCTTTCCTCTAAACTCAGGAAGGCACCAGCTAGGCTTCCTCCTGTCTGATACCTTCAGGGGAAAACTCAGATAGGAGCTTCTTAATATTTACATCCATAAAATCCTTTGATTCAGGAGGAGATGACAAAGACCCATCTCCTTAAAAACCCCTGGCCTCAACCGGACTGCACGCTCAGCCCTCTGCCTCTATGCTGAGCTGCCCACCTGGCCTGCCCAGCTGTAATCTCTCCACTCAACCATGTAAACTGGCTCCTCTCCCCTCCCACCCCGCCCACTCTCCCTCAGGTTCTGTCTGGAGAGGTGCCCATCCGTTCTTACGGATGTCCCTTCCCTAATAAACTTTGCTATTTTACCTCCCACTAATCTCTGTCTCATGCCTGAATTCTTTCTTGCCCAAAGACAAGAACCCTGCCATTCACCAGTAACATTCTGGCAACCACGACGGGATTTTGAGAAGACATCGAAGGTCAATATTCCTTCCCTCAAGTGGGACCAGATCTGTGGGAGTGACTATTGATCAGCCGGCACCCCACAGCTCTCCGAGAACGCGGAGTTCCCTCACCCCAGCCACGGCTTAGCTACAGCAGAAACTCCAGAGGGATTGTGAGGAATGG